TAACTAGCTCTGAAAAGCCAGAATATCCCTAAATGATTTTACAAAAATCTTTTGATAAGCCCTTATTAACACTGTAGGCAGCGCTTTACAGTTTGTTTTTTTACCACATCCTCTTATAATTTCTCCTCCTCTCTCTCAGTAATAATCTTCTGTTGTGTTTTTTTTTTTTTTTTTCCTTTTTTGCATTATTAATATTTTTTTTGTGGACAGATTCTCCCAGAGGAGCTGCAGCTCCTCCAGAGTTACCATGCTCCTTCTGGCTGCTTCTCTATCAGAAAGCTCAGACGGCGGACGGAGGGTGGGGTTCATACCGATGTAGTCGAAGCGCCCCGGGGCCAACCTCTCTGGGAGGTGGGCGGTAAACAGGAAGCAGGTGAGGAAGGCGAAGAGGAGGTGGTAACAGTGACTGGACAGGGCGTCACTGGGGCTGCTGCCGTCCCAGAAGCAGGTCAGCACCTAAAAACAAAACAATGAGAACTTCACGGTTACAGAATGTTAGATTGCATAACAGACTTGCTATCTAACAGATTATCAAACCCGTTAATGCTATTAATTGTATGGAATCAGATCCTGGGTCAAATCTGATGCTAATAACGTCTGGGAGCTTACATAACTAAACAGATGTTTCCAAAATGAAGGGGACTCACCCTGTAAAACAGAGGGGCCGTGTCGAAAATAAAGGGCACAACAAACGCTCCTGTTCGTAAGGCTTTACTTCTCTTTGGGAACTGCAGCTCCACGAATCTGTGCAAAAGAGAAAGGAAAACCTTTGAACCTCCTCCATGCAGATTTCCGTCGGATAAAACCAGCCTGTGTTCCTGAACGAGTCAAGCTGCTTTTCCAGGGTTGATAATCGAGTTCCAGGGCCGCTTAAGCTAAAAGAATTTGGTCTCTATGGGGGAGTTTAAAGGCCGCATGACGGCCGTAATGCTGATCCAGATGCTTTCAGTTAGAGGGAAGAATGCAAAGCCCAGTGAAACACACTGGAAACAGGAGTCACACTTTTTAGATTTTAACTCGCTTCCAGCTGGGGCGTTTTTTTTATTAAATTCAAACAAAATTGTAACTTAAAAACATTTAAATTAAAAATACTCCCCGGTGTAATTTGATCCACATGGAGACAGGCTGCTGCTATGAAAAGGATTTGAAATTTGCAGAGGAATGTGTAGAATGCTCAGCAGAAGGCTCAGCGGGCAGAGCGACGGCGGTACCAAGCCTCACCACACAGCCAAAGACCAGCATCGGTCCTGAACTACAGCATGTGTGCAAACAAGCAGTAAATAGTATGCTGATGAAGATTCTCAGTCATCCAGGTCATAGTCATAGTCAAGTCTTTGTCCATATAAGAC